CAGATGGACTCACAGATGTCTGGGAACAGATTTGGTGGCCACACCTGGTGTGGAATTTGGTGGCTGCGGGTGCCAAGGCAAGGCTGACCGGGGCACTTGGGAATCAGGGCTCAAGGCTGGGAGAAGCAAGAGTTCCCTCTGGAGGAAGGTGGGAGGGTGCATCCAAGTTTGTGCGCTCACTCGCTCGGTGGGAAGCTGAGGGAGGAGAGGAGTTAACAGTAGGGCTGCTCCCCAGCCAGCTGTGCTCAGGGAGACACTGACAGATTACAGCGTCTCTTCTCGCTAATAGCACTGCGGCTTCTGCCTCCCACCGCTCCAGCCAGCTCCAGCCCCAGTGGATCAATACCAGGAGCCAGGGGCTGCACAAGGGAGGGACCTTGGGGGTCAACTTACTGCCTGGTACTGGCTTTCCTTTGGACCAGAGCTGCTGTACCGTTTGCCTGTGCTGCCATCACATGACCCAGCAAGGACTTCCTCTCCCAAAGTTTGCTGGGAGCCAGCCTCCTGGCAGAGACCTCACAAGGCTGTCTACATGATACCTGTGTCTCCTTGGCCTCAGGTCCACATCTCTGCAGCCCTAGGAGAAATTCACACCACACACACACACACACACACACACACATACACACCAGCAGCTGCAGCCAGAGCTGCTGGTTTAAGTCATCATTCTGACATAATTCCGTCTCCATTGTTTGACCTTGACCTTCCATCTCCCAATCTCTTCTTCATTGTCCTCTCTTCCTCACCATCCAGTTACCTGGGCCTCACTTCTTCATGACAGGGCAGATAACTGAGCCAGAGAAGGGAAGCCTTCCTCTCTGAGCTGCTGTCTGCTAGAATGCCCATGAACGCTCCTTCGGAGTACCTCTCCTCCTCCCCTCCTCCCATAGATGAAGAACTGAGGCTCGGGCAGGTTGACTAATACGCTCAGATTCCCCCAGGGTCACAGGTGGCTGGAACCCAACGTTTCTTCGTTTCTTCTGCCTTCAGCCCCGCAAGTGCTGGGATTACAGGAGTACGTCATCACGCTCAGCTGCTGGAGATGGCTTCTTGCACATTAGGCAGTGTTCTGCCAGCCACCAGATCATCTTCTCAGCCTCAGATCTTTCCAGAAAGGACGTAACAGGGCTTCTGTGGTTCCATCCCCAGGGGAAGCAAAGGGACTAGGTGAAGGCCGCCAGAATCCAGGGACTGCCTAGATCAGGGTCCTTCCTCTGCGGCTGGTACCCTCCTCCTCTGTCACCAGATGGGTCTCCAAGCTGTATCACTCAGGGATAAAATCAGGAACTTTTTGGAAACCAGAGAATCATTGGGCAAGTGTCACACTTCTTGTGTGTCAGGGACACTGGGAAAACATTTTTTTTTTTTTTAATCAAAAAAGAGAGGTGAGGGGCTGGAGACATGGCTCAGCGGTTAAGAGCACTGGCTGCTCTTCCAGAGGTCCTGAGTTCAATTCCCAGCAACCCCATGGTGGCTCACAACCATCTATACTGGGATCTGATGCCCTCTTCTGGTATGCAGGTGTACATGCAGATAGAGCACTCAAATAATTTTTAAAAAGAGGGGGGGGAGGTGAGAATTGAATGAAATAAATTATCTGTTACACTGTGGTTCTGGCACCACATATCACATGCGGTATTGTGTGTGCCTTTGTGTGTGTGTGTGTGTGACACACACACACACACACACACACACACACACACGCATGCCTACCTGGGGAGCCCTGGAGTTCTGTGGAGAATCAGTTCCTGACTGCAGCCTCTCGTAATTCTATTTTCCAAGTCCCCCTGCCCTGTCCTCCTGTTTCCAGCCCCAAAACCCACCTCCCTGCATAATATAGGAGGGGTCCGTGGGCTCCTGCATGGCCCTGACCTACACAGAAGCCTAGAGAGAGAGACGACCTGCTCAGATTTCCCAACCTGCTCTAAAGCAGTCCTCCTGGCCCCTAAGTGCAGAGCTCCAGAATGTAGCCCAGTGGGCTAGAGCTGCTGTAGATGTCCATGCAACTGTCCTGGGAACTCCACGGAGCCTCACCTCTGCCTCATCTCCATTCGGTGCCTCCCTCCCTCCCTCCCTCATCTCTATCCTACCAGCCAGCGATGCCAGCCCATCAAACACATGAACATGGATTCCCTAAGCAGGCATTCCCCACCCCTGCCCTCTTCCCCATTTCACTGCTAAGCCCCATCTTGCCCCGACTAGAATTTTGAAATAACGCTCTTCAAAAAGCCAAGATGGAAACTCGACAGGGTCTTCCCCAAGGACTCTCCAGGACTCACCACGCACTGGTCTCCTGTTACCTGCTATTCTCCCAACAGAACTGCACAAGGAAGGGTCCCCGTATGTGGGGAAGGGCACTGAGACCAGTCTGTGAGCAGTTTGTCGCAAGCTGTAACGTCATCTAACTTGTCCTTCGTCCAGGAAGCTATGGGGCACGGGGCTGTGTTTATACCACTATATCCCTACTGCTACCATGGAGCAGGACCTGACAGAATGCTGATTGCATGAATGAATGAATCACTCATTCATTCGTGGCCACTCTACCATTGGCAGGCTTTGGGGACCAAATTCTGGTGAGTCACCAATGCCCTGTAAATGCCACTTGGAGAATAGAATGACCTCCTCTTTGGAGTCTTTCCACCAGAGACTGCTACTCCAAGCCAGAACACCCAAAGAGCCCTCCAGACTGGCAGAGGCTGGGTTTACATGCCACACTGCAGCTCAGGGAGGCTGAGCACCCTGTAGGGAGCCCATATCTCCCTGCCCCTGCCACAGAGGGTCTCCAAAGCCTTTGACCATGAACTGGACTAGGGGTGGGGAGAGTTGCGTCCTTGAGTCCTGAGGCATACACGGGAGAAGTGTGGAAGAACTCTGCCAGCCTGATTTACTGGCTGAGAACCGAGTGCCCTTCCCTCTGAGCTGTGCTGTCACCTCTCAGTGCCTCAGTTTCCTCCTCAAAGAGCAGTCACTGAAAAGATTGGACTTGGATTGCACGGCAGTTGGAACCAACTAACCAGGAGAACAGGTAAAGCAAGAAGCCCTGTACCAGGGCTAATGCTGTTGCTCACATTAAGATTATTTATATGTGTTAACACCGCAGTCATAAACAGCCAATGACTCACTTTTAAAGGGTATCTCATGCGCTGAATTGCAGCCCTGAAGCTGGCTGTTTTCCTGAATTGAGCAGCAGCGCCACCCTGTGGCCATAGTGCAGAATACAAGACTTTCAGATGGGCAGTGCTGAGGTACCCAGTAGGGGCGAGGCTGCTCAGGTTCCCTTGGAAAGAAATACAAAGAGAAGTCAGTCTGACACCACAGCGTGAGGAGAGACCTCTTTGCCCCTGGAGATGGTTTTCAGGATATAGACAATGTGCCATAGGAGTTTGAAGCAATAGTGAGGACATTTTTCTACCTAGTTTAGGGGCAAAACAGCACCCAAAGAGCAGCCCAACCCCACGCTAGGGTCCAGCCAGACCCTGCAGAAAGCATTATTCATTCTCCACCTAAGCAGACTTGCATTTCCTCTGGCACCGCACGTTGTGTGACCTTGAGTGCCATGACACTTAGCTCTTGGTTTTTGCTGCTTTGTTTTCTTTTTTAGACAGGCCTCATGTAGCCCAGGCTGGCTTTTAACTCAGTGTGTGACTATCATGAGCTTCTGATCCTCCTGCCTCCACACACACACCCTCCCAAGTGCTGGAGTTACAAACCGTCATCATCTCAACCAGCCTTGAGCTCTTACATAAAGGCCCACTGAAGGGAGTCTTGGTGGGATTCTGACACAGAAACGGATCATGCCTGTCGGCCTGACACCCCGGGAGGCTGAGGCAGAAGGATCAGTCCACGTTCAAAGCTAGTGTGGGCTACACAGTGAGATCCTGTCTAAACGCGCAGACCAGAGAGAGAGGCAAGGCTTCACTCCTGTGTGTAGTGCCTTGCTTCTCCCCATCCCCCGGCACAGGCCTTTGATGTTAGCACCTCCTAGAAGATGGAGTCCTGGTCCTCTCCACCCTACTCACAGCCAAGCTCAGAGGATCAAGATCTAAGGTCCAAGCCTCAAAAAAGGCCATGTGTGCCCTAAGAGGGGCCAGTCAGGCAGGTGTGGGGATGGGGTCCTTCCAAGGCCTCTGTTAAACAGATGACACCAAGTCTGCTGGAGAAGGTGGCTCTTTTCCGACTGTCATAATGACCCTCAAATGTCAGTGTCCACAGGCCACTTTTTCAGTATTTGGCCCTTGTCCTATCAAACCATCAGAATCCCAAATCTTATTGGCACAGGGAGACACGGGTTCAAAGAGAAGAAATGGTCAATCTGAGGTCACACTGCAATTGAATAACAGGCACAAGCCTCGAGTCCAGGGTCCCCTATGCCTTCCAGTCTCCAAGGACCCCAGAGCCAGGGGAGATGCTGAAAGGCTGTTTGACCGCAAGCAAGCCATTGGCCCCAGCTCTCAGCACAGACATCCCTGCCATCTCTGACTTTGTGTCCTTGGTTCTTCTCCTTGAGCCGTGAAGAGAGGGGTGTTCAGCTGCATCTGCGGGGCTTGCGGAGGAGCAGCTGTGGCTTTTCTCCCTTGAGGAGCTTTTCCTGACCGCCCCGGCTGACTTACTGTCCCTCTCACAGCACCCAGGGCATGGCACTGCAATTTATCTGCTAATCCCCAGAGGGCTGCAGAGAGGGCATGCAGGACTAGGACGAAAGCTGGGCCTGGAGTGATAGTGGGATGGTGGGGACTGGAGCAAGTCTGTACGGCCTGGGCTGAGGGGACAGGTCCTCTTCAGATGTCAGGGGGGCCAAAATAGTCTGGCCAAATTTTAAAGGAATCCCTACCAGGCTTCGGTGGCACACAGCTTTAATCCCAGCTCTTGGGAGGCAGAGGCAGTTGGATCTCTGTGAGACTGGGCCAACCTGGTCTACATAGAGAATTTCAGGACAGCCAGGGCTACGTAGAGAAACCTTATCTCCAAAATGCGTGAGAGAGAGAGAAAATATCCTTAAATCTGGATTTATGTGTGAAATACAAGATTTACATGTAAATTGAAAGTACATTTCATAGCTAGGAACACGGCTTGCCAGTAGAACATATGCCTCTCATGCAGAAGGTCCTGGGTTTGATCCCCTGTGCCACAAAATAAACAAACAAAAAGTTATAAAATGTATTTCATGAGGCACCTCTCAGGTATCACATCCCCAGCATGGACCACACTGCCTCCCTAGACCCCGGGCTGCTCAGGGGCTTGACCTAGGTCGCCAGCCACAGATGGCCAGTGATCGCTTTGAGAACATGGGGAGATCGTGACCCAGGCAAAGCTCTGCCCAGGTCAGCCCAGTGACCTGGACTCACAGTTTGTTTGCCAGGCATTGTGTTAGCACAGACGCCATCCTCAAGGCCACATGGCTACCGGAAATCTGGGTCCAAAGGCAGTCTGACCCCCTCACACATCTCCCAGCCTTGCCTGAGAAGACCCCCAAGTAAGACCTTGTAGTCACTTGGCCTCAGTGATAAGGACAGTGGGAACCAGGTTACATATCACAGCAAAGCAGGGCTGCGGCCCAGAGAGGGGCCCTTCCGCACCCAACACAACACAGCCAAGTAAAACCAACAACAGTTTGCCTTTAGCCTCAGGAGCCCAACCCCATCCCTCCCCTCCCCACTCCCTACCCCCACACACTTCCAGCAGAGAAGAATGTGAGGTAGAGGAAGGAGCCTCTGTTCATCCCACGGAAACGGCCAAACTCTCTGTAAACTAGCTAAATGGTTCTGAAGGAAATGGGGATCTATTTTGTCCCCTGTCGTCAGGGCTTCGAATCCTGATATATCTTGGGCACAGCGGAGAAGCGGATGGCTCAGCACTTGGAGAAATGCCCAAAAGGCAGGAAGTGGGGAGGATGGCTCAACAGGTGCCTCTCTATTCTGAGCACGGTCCTGTGATGGCTGAGTGTACATCCAGCTGAAATAAAAAATAACTCTGCGTGCCCGTCACCGGCACGAACGGCCGACAGCCTCCCTTTCTTCTGAGGACAAGGAGTGCGCTCCGAGGCTTTGCGTCCTCGTGGGCTGGCGACTTTGACAGTTCTGCTGGGGCAGTCAGCCCCCGCCCCCTCCCCTCCTGAGGCTGAGGTAGGCTGGCGAACTGAAAGCTTTCCCCTTCCGTGGATGCATCCTCCCACAGAAAGACTAAATACTGCAGCTCTGCGGGGTGTCTGCCTGGGCACTGTGTCCTCAGCCCTGAGTCGTCTGTAAGGACAGAGTAGGACAGTGTAGGAACTTTGCCTCAGAGGGACAGAAAATGTGTGCTGAGTGGTGGTGGCGGGGGAGAGACGGAATCTCTCAACTGAAGTCCTTGCTGCCCGATTTGCCTTAAAGATTTAAATTCACAACAGATGTGGAGGTTCTGCGGTTAGCTTGTTAAGAATCTGGTCTCGCCTTCCTTCCACCATGTGGATTCTGGGGATTGAACTCAGGTCATCAGACTTGGTGGCAAGCACCTTAACCTTCTGAGCCATAGAACCAGCCCTAGAGTGCTCAATTCTTTCGATGGCAAAACATTCTCCAACAGGCTGACCACACTACAGGTGAATGCTCAATGAGCCCCACGCAGAGCTCCATAAGCCTTGGGTCCTCAGCAAAATACATAAACATTCACACTATGTGAGATTTGACACAGACTCAAACCACCCCCCGCTTCACCTCGGGGCCTTGCTCAGATGCTCACCCAGCCCTGTGAAGAACTCTTTGTTTCGGCTGTTCCTTGACTAGCTGGCCTTGAGCACAGCCATCCTCTTGGAGCCTCGGGTTTTCTCGTTGAGAAATGACCTCGTGGTTTTAGGAAGGGCAGGGGAGATGCAGGTTGGCTCACTGGAAGTGGGGCTGCCCTCCTCAGCAGTCCCACGACACACTGGTGAATCCGCTGGAGAACCTGGGGTCTGGTCTGCATGCGAGGCTGAGCCTTTCAGTCGAGCCTATAAGGCTGCCCATGAATAGAAGATCTGTCAATAATGAAGAAGAAATATAGCCACAGGCCAGCTGGAATGCTTTATCACCCTGTCTGAGAACCACCACAGCTAAAGTGCTGGGAGCTTCCCCAGACTCACGGGGCTGATTGGGAGGAGAGATCAAATTAAGTACTAGCTTTAGTTCAAGAAGTGTTTAGCTACAGACCAGCATATGCCCTCACCCCCTGCAGGCAGGAAACAGTTAGAGCCGTCAAAGCCCACCCCCTAGGCAGCTGGTTCCATGACTGTCCTCTCCTATATTCCTGATACCGAGGGACACCTCCATGCGCGTCGTGTTGCTTTTCCCATTGCTGTATAAAAAAAAAAAAAAAAAAAAAAAAAAAAAAAAAAATCCTGAATAGAGAAGTGCAAGGAAGGTTCACAGTTCCTGGGTTACAGTCCTCCAGGGGGCAGGATGGTCACCGTGGCAGGAGTTTGAGGCAGCTCACACATCGCATCCACAACCAGAAAGCAGAGAAAGGGAGAGAGAGAGAGAGAAACGGTGATGTTCAGCTTACTTTCTCCTCTTTACTGACCCTAGGCCTACAGCCTAAGGGAGGCTGCCTGCACGCCCGGAGTGTGTCTTCCCATGTCTGTTACCCCAATCTAATAACTCCCTGACAGGCACACCCAGAGCACCCTGAGACTCCAGACCCTGTCAAGCTGACAATCAGTACTAACCATGATGCTTGCTTTCTCTAAAAGAGGACACACGCTGAGTGGCCAGAGCTCCCTGGATGAGCCCTCGTCCCAGTCCAGGCTCCTCCCTGGGAGAAACTCCTGGTACCCTCTGTGTCCCAAATCTACTCAGTCACACATCTGCAAACAAACAAACTGATGATTCTTAGCAAAAGCCAAGTTATATCAAAATTCTATAACCTAAGCAACCCCTCCCGCTCCGCCTGCCCTCCAGAGCCTCGTACCTCACCCAACACGGCACCTCGGACTCTTTTCCTGGGATAAAATACTTGGGCAAACGTGACTTCAGGGAGAAAGGGCTTATGTTAGCTCACAGTCTCGGCTTACAACCCACCACAGCAGGGAAAGTCAAGGCTTCGGGGGCTTGCAACAGCTAGGCACACACTCAGAAGAGACCAGAGAAGATACCCGTGCTGGTCAGTGCTTTCTTCATCTTATTCACTCCCAGATACTCAGCCCGGGGGGACAGTCCCACTCATGACTAAGGTGGGCCTTTCCACAGCTATTAGTATGCTCCACCACAGGCATGTCAGAAGCCCATCCCCCAGCTGACTAGATTCTGCTGAGCTGACCGATAACATCGACCGTTCGTTCCTTTCCCTTGACGCTTTTGACTCACTTGTGACCTCAAGAAGCTAGGAAACTACGGAGGCTACATGGCAGAGAGCGGGCAATGCGGCTTCCAGCTTTGAGGTCACCCACAAAGGCGGTCTGACCACTGCAGGATGCCGTACTGAGGAAGCCCAAACTACTCATGCGGACTCAAACACAGGCAGACTCCAGACTAAATGGAAAGAGAGAAACATCCATTATCTGCCAGCTACTCCAACTCCACAAAATCTAACCCAAGCAGCAGCAGAGACCCCAGGCCAGAGCCTGCCAGCCAGCCTTCCCCAGGCCCCAAGCCACAGGAAGTGAAAGAGCAGGATGAGCTTGCTGCTGTTTGAGTGGCTAGATTTTGAAATGGTTTGTTGCACAGTGTAAATTTCTCCAGCCAGAAAAGGAGGATGTGGGGTCATGGTTTCAGGGGATTTGAGTCTATCACAGGAGGTATGGCCAAACAGCCAGCCCCCCTGTAGAGGTGGGAGCGTGGGGCAGTGGTTATTCGCAGGATGGCAGACCAGGAGGCACAGCAAGCCAGCCAGAGATAGGGGAGGGGATGACCTTTGGGTCCACCCTCCGTGACCAACATCTCCCAGTCAAATGCCACCTCGGAAAAGTCCTATAGCCTCCCAAAATAGTGCCACCAGCTGGAAGACAAGCTCCAAGATGGAGGCCTCTGTAAGACAGTTCAGGTTTACACACTCACACACTACAAAAAGCAGGGCCTAGAGTGAGCGCATGTTATGAGAATTCCTTCCACGGGGAGATATAAAGAAATATCTACTCCTTCCTTACAAGGCCTCAATGACAAAGTATAATTCCACCACCGTCTGCCTTGAGGAACCAATGAGCTTACTGGACTTACAGAAGTGTGGGCAACCCCAAAGTGGTCTCATTCCAACATGGATGAAAACTTCCATACAGCCCCCCCGGCTCCTTCTCCCAACATCCCACGGGCTACATAATCTAGCAACACCTGAGCCCATGGGACCACATGCACTTAGGGGCAGAGTCACCGTCTGTCCTGGTATGGAAGAGAGCAGCTGGACTCTCAGGTAAAGGTTCACTGACCCTCCCCACCTCTTCCTCCATAGTTAACAGGCTGGATGTCAGGGTCTCTTGCAAGTAGACCAGGCTGGCTTCAAACTCACAACAATCTGCCTGCTTCTGCCTCCCTGAGTGTTGGGATTAAAGGCTTGTGCCCAGCTGACATCTTTTTCCTAATGCACTTATTCATAGTGACCCCTTTCTCTGCTCAACATGGTCTAATCTGAGTGATAAATCTTGCGGTCACTGTTCATTAGGCAAGCTACTCTCCTTACAGCCCAGAATGATAGAATACAGGACATACCTTGAACACAAAGATTTCAAGAAATTGATGCTCTGGGGTCTGCCTATGTGGTGGGTCCACGTGGGGAGGCTGGGCTTCCTCAGCAGCAGTGGCTTTGAGTGGTCAGATCACTCCTTTAGGTACTGGCAATTTCAGAGCTGGAAAACGCATCACCCACTCACCACCATGTGGCCTCGGAAGTCTGCCAGCGTTCTTCTATGCCAAAGCTGAACCCTGAGTTCTTAAACTCCATATGTGAGGCAGATTCCCTAGACAAAAGGGAGGAGGGTGATGAGAAAGTGCAACAGGAATGAATAGGATCAATGCACGCCAGTGTGTGTGGTGTGGAAATGTCACAACAAAAGCCACAACTAGACGGGTAACATGCACTAATTAGAATTTTAAATAAAAATTTCAAAGCAAGAGCCAGGCATGACAGCTCACACCTCTCCTCTCAGCTCTCTGGGGTCTGTAGCAAGGAGATTTCCAATTCAGGTCCAGCCTAGACTACAGGAGTTGACTCAGCCCGAAAATGTTCAGAATGTCTTCTTCTACTTGCCACACATGCATGACACCAGCAGGACACTCCCACAAGATCTACGAGTCCCCTTCCCATTGAATTATAGTCCCTGAGCCCAGCCCATAGGAAATCAAACAGTGGACTTGCTGATGACCCTCACAGTAAATAGCCTGTTTATGAGAAGGAGAAAGTGTGTGTGTGTTAGAGAGAGCTCACAGACAAGAGAACCATGCCACCCAGGCAAGGCCTCCTCTACCATTCCACCTGGGAGATTAGAGTCCATAAAACTGCTGTCTAATCCTGCTTCTGCTGCTGCTCTGAGAACTATGCACCCAGATGCCCAGAGCCATTTTCCCCCAGCACTAATAGGAATGTCATTTTAAAAAAAATTGTCATTCATGAAAGCCCTTAGCAGCTTGAATACTATACAGTCAGTACTCTGTGAATGTTCTACCCCTCCCTAAGGCTCAGTAGGTTCCATTAGAATATGCAGTTATCTTACCTAGACAGAGGTCTTATCAGAACAGGACAATATAGCACAGGATGGGGCCTCTTGCTCCCAGATGTGACTTGTGGGGACACACAGGAGAGCCTGGCACACTCTTACGGTCACTTCCATCTATTTGAGAGCTCTCTGAGACAAGAATCAGCTCTGTCCATCATTAAACACAAAGTATCCTGAAGCAAGGGGGAGCTCTTAATGATGTGGTCACTGAGCATGATGTCATCACCATGCCTGCTGACTCAAGGCCTTTCATTCCTTTATTTAAGTCAACAAATCCTTATTAAGCACACACTCTGCCTCAAGCTCCATGTGCTGCCAGAAACATGTCAATCAAGTAACTACTCGGGTAATATGAATGCCGAAAAGACAGGACATATGGGGCAACAGCGTCATGAGAAGGCACCTGCCTTGCTTGCCTGTGTTCAGCTCTCGGTCAAATGTCACTTTTTGAAATTATGCTTTTAATGTGTATAGGTGTTTTGCCTGTAAGTATGTCCATGCACCATTTGCATGCCTGACATCCACAAAAGCCAGAAAAGAGCACTGGATTTCCAAGAACTGGTTTTGAACCACAGTGCAGGCACTGAGAACCAACCTGATGTACTCAGGAAGAGAAGCCAGTGCTTTAACTACTGAGCCATCTCTCCAGCCCCCAAATGTCACTTCTCAGAAGACGCTTTCCCTCCCACCCCAACCTCCCTCTCACAACACTCTTGAACATCCCAAGGGGGATGGAGCACACTCCTTTCCGTTGCTAGAAGAAACCCTGATGGAGTAGGTGAAGGGATAACCTGTCTCTCAATAGCCTCAGTTTACTTGGGTTAACTAATGCACCTCTCCAAGCTTCTTTTGGCCATGTGTAAAGTTCATACTGAAATCTGTAATCAGTCCTGGTTGTGGTGACACATGCCTTTGATCCCAGCACTCAGGAGGCAGAGGTAAGTGGATCTCTGTGAGTAGGGGGTCATCTTGGTCTGCCTAGAAAATTCTGAGCTAGCCAGAGATACATATTGAGATCCTGTCTCTAAATAAATAAAATACTGTAATTGTGAAATGACAGGCTTATTCATGTAAATCCTTCTGCTAACCTTAGCCATAATGAGCCATACACTTTCTGACAAGAACAGAATCTTTGTTTTGAGACATCTCATATAGCCCAGGCTGGCTTTGCATGTCAGGCTGAAAATGACCCTGATCTTCTGATCTCACTGTATCCCCTTCCCCGCTGCTGAGATTACCTGAGATTACCAGGCACATACCTGTCTTACACAGTGCTGGGGATCGAACCCAGGGCCTTTAGGGATTGGGGGGCGGGGGGAGTCTTGTTTTGTCTTATTTCCTGTCTCTAAAAGTAGGTTCTATGGGCCTTAAGTCTGCAAAACACTTCTTGGGCACACTGGAGAATGCCACCACTTAAGAGCAATATAGAACTGCAGAATCGCAGAGTCTGGAGGAGGCAGGGAATATTCATAAGAGAACAAGTGCACAGTGAGCTGAGAATGAGGCGGGACCCTCCAAATCACCCTCCATCTGGAGAGAGCAGAATAGCTGGGCGAGGACAGGAGGAAGATGACTCATGTGTGACACGATAGAGAGGCTGCAGCAGATGGCCTCCGCGACCCACAGCAAAAAGAGGGGAAAAGACAGAGAGACACGATGGAAGCACTTCAGCAAAGATGCATGCCTCTTTGTATCTCAGGACACATTTCAAGTTTCTGTTGATTTACAGTCTTGCTATGGAGTGCAGGCTGGCCCCAGGATTGCAGCAATCCTTGTGTCTTATGTTCTCGGTTGCTGAGAGTTCAGGGTCAGCCTAGGCAACTTAGCGAGACCCTGCTTTAAAAAAAAAAAAAAGTTTTAGAGTTGGTAAGATAGCTCAGTTTCCAAAGCAGGTGCCGTTTCTCAGAATCTCCAACTTCACCAGCTCCTGTCTGGCATTATGATCCTCCTGCCTCAAATTCAGAGTAGAGGGATCCCAGAATGTGCTGCCATACCTGTCAAGGAGCCAACTCTTAAAGACATATATATGACAGGACCAAGGCAGTGACAGTCAACCATCAGGGCAGAAAGAACAGGACTGGCCACGGTGGTCAGAGAAGAGACTATACAGAATAACGGGGAGAGAGGTGAAAATGCAGCCAGAGATGCCGGTCCACAGGAAGCTAGTCCTACTTCATGTTCAGCTTCCCTAGGAAGGTGCCAGTTGTGTGGGAAGTTCTGGCCATACTGAGAAGCAACCCATTGGAAGTATGAATGGATCAAGCAATGAGGGGAGATGATACTGTGAGGGGAGTCAACATTCAAGATGTACCTGAAATAAGAATACAGACAGGCTAGTCATGAATGTGGTGGGAAAGTGAAAGAAGAGCAGGAGCCACCAAATCCAGTTTTAGAAAAAAATTAGAAAATTAGAAAAACTGGAAGACAAGGTCATTGGTAATGTAATGAAATGGATACTCCCATCAACATTGTCATTTTCAGCACATTTAGAGGCCAAAGCAGCTGGTCAAGTCCACCCAAGCATCACCCATGGTAATGACTAGAAAGTGGAATGCATTTTGACAACCATTTAATTTACCCCTTGTTATCCACCATTTCCAGTTTACATTACAAAAAAAAAGAAGAAAAAACGAACAGCCATAGCGCTAGACGTGCTTGGACACATGTGTCTAAAAACAGATTTGTTCATTTATTTTTGGTTTTTCGGGGAAGGGTTTTTCTGTGTAGTGTTGGCTGTCCTGGTCTCGCTTTTGTAGACCAGGCAGGCCTTGAACAGAGCTCTACCTGCCTCTGCCTCCCTGAGTGCTGGGATTACAGGCGTGCTCCACTAAGCCCGGCTCTGATTTATTTTCTAATAAAGGAGATCTGCTGGGAAACTACCAAGGAAACCTAAACAGCCAGGAAAAGAGGCCAAGGTTTAAACCAAAGCCGATCTTGCGTCTCTTTCCACGTTTCATTAATTGCCTTTCCAGCTGCACAGGGCGAAAGAAGCCAAGATATCGCCCTGAGTCGCACCCTCTAAACCGTGATGTCAATTAAAACGCAGACTTCTGGATTCCAGCCTGAGTAGTCCCGACTTGACCATCAATCTACGGAAATGAGACACTTTACATCTTTTTTTTTTTTTTTTTAATTAGCGACCAGAAATCTCGGTTGACGCCTGAGATCTGTGGAACAGGTTTGACTCCTGGCAGCTACCCCGAAGCTCTATCAGCCCCAGCCACTCCTCACCCTGCGTTGGTGCCACAGATAACAGGCACAGGTAACGCGTGGACCCCCTCAAGGTGTTCTGATAAAAACACTCCAGCTGAGACAAGCGAGAGCCGCAGGGCATTGTGGGAGACAGAGGAGGCGAGGCGGGCGCGAAGCATTGTGGGACACCACAGAGCCGGCTCCTACCCTCGCCCCAAGCGTCTCACGCACCGAGCGCGGCCACGTTTCAGTTCTGAACCGCTTTGACCCTCCCCAAATGCCGCTGACGTAATCACTCCCTACTTGTGTCTGGCACCTCAGAGGCTTACGAGAACATTTAGCCAAAGCTGTGACACACTTCCGGTTGCGCCTTCACTTTACGGCTTGACGTTTTTCCGCTGACTAAGAAGGAAGTGGTAGAATCATTTACGACAGCGCTGATCGCGGTTTACGGCGCCGGGCTCTGCGCGCGCATCTTCCCTCCTGGTTTGGTTCCTCCCGGTATCGAGGCTATCGTAGTCCCTTCCTCGGGCCATCTGTCGCCATCCGGGCCCGTGGAAACTGTTACAGGTGAGCGGCTAGTTTCGTAGGGACCTGCGGACCCCGCGAGCCAGGCTGGGCTAGGGCGGGCTTCGGGGACCTCCCGGAAGAGCCTTTACGTCCTCTCCTGTCGTCGCTGCCCCTCCGCTGGGCGGGGCGGGAACCTGCATCGGGTGGTCCCAGGCTGGACGGACACTGTGAGTGCAGGGCACTGGAACCGGTGTGTGGACCTCTTCCGATTCTCCGCCCAGGGCCGTCGGGAGCCAAGTATCCTCCTCTGGGGGATACTCCTCTGCTCTGAAACGGAGTTCATGGCTCCTGCCCGTAGTGTGCACAGTGATCTACACTGTATCGTGACCAACACTGCTGTCGCATCGTTTTAGTTCTCCCCCTACGAGTAACTTTCTAGTTCACATGTGCAGAAGCCAAAGGACCAAACCCTGCCCATCCAGGAAGATGATTCATGTCAAGCCTTGAGCCATCTTGAACTTGTGACACCTCAGATTTACAGTTGCTTTTGAGGCAACTTGTTGGGTATGGCTTAAATCCCCAGGTTACAGGCTGCCACCTAACTACAGTATAGCCAAGAGAAACCCGGGCTTAAATAGACAACCTTGGAAACTGTTCCGAAGTGATTTGCAGATGGACTGCTTGAGTTAGCAGAGCTAACTTTGTGTCTCAAAGATGGGGTGTTGAGAGAGCAATGGTGTTAAGCTGTCCTGCCGGCACAGTGCCCCCACATGCTGGAGGCTCTTACTTCATGTGAGCTGGGGGTTGAGGCTCCCAGGTTTATCCCTTGTTGCTGTCATCTTCAGCCTCCCTGGGGCAGAGCAAGGAGCAGGGGTTAACTGAGCTCTCAACCTGTGTTCCTGCAGTTGCTCTCTAGCCTTCAGGGTCCTCTGGAACTTTTCAGAGGGTGTCTTGTAGGTCAGTACGTGGTTTTGTTTTTTGCTGTTTTGTTATGTGTTTTGATGGGAAGTGTCCAGCAAGCACCTGGATTAGTTTTTACCATTCTATAATGAGCTGTAGTGTTATACAGACTATGATTCAAAGCCATACTACCTGTGTGAAAGTAATCATCCAGCATTGCAACTTGTGTTTCACTGTCCCTTTATATTTTTCCCCGGAAAATGGAGCAGAACTGGCCTCTGCCCCACGGGATTGTCAGAAGGGCTTAAGGGGTCCGTGTGCTGTAACAGTGTCCTGGTGCTTGTGTTTATGAAGTTTGACACTTGGCTGCTTTTGCAACCTTTACTCATTGAGCCATCTCACTGGCTTTTGTCCTGCCACTTTTGCTCTGAAGTTTGTAGTGACCCTGGTCACCAATGGTGCTTTCACCTTTTTTAAGATTTTGTTGTTGAGTGTGTGCGTGACGTGAATGCCAGCATGTGCATGCCATGGTACTCAGCCAGAGATCAGAGGGCCATGTTTGGGAGTCGATTCTCTCCTTCCACTTTACCTGCTGCCCTATCTCACCAGCCCAAGGCTCTTTAGAGTACTCCAGGCCGGTGTCTTACTAAGTAGTAATTGTGTTGCATGTTAACTGAGAAGACAATGGTCCTATGATACAGACTGATCTTTACTTTAGAGACTAAGGCTTAGAGAAGTCTGGTGTTGAGTGTTTTGGTAAGGTGTTCTGAGGGAACTCACCACAGTTTTAACATTTTCATAAATATGTTATGCTGTGAAAGAAAAGATGTGACACCCCAACAGGTAAGGCATGGTTTTTATTTCAAAGATACTCGCTAAGAAATGAACGTATCCTAGAATTAGTGAGACATAGGAATATGTCACTGGTATCAGAAATGTTGAGTTTTAACTGTTCTTAGAGCAGTTTACAAGAAAACCCTGTCGGTGGTATTCCAAGCTTAGGGCTTTGCTTTGTGTGCAGCTCCAGTGTTTGGGACTTAACAGCCCTCCTTCAAAAAGCTGTTCACACTGCTTGTTTTTTAAGGTTTTAGAAGATGGCGAAGTTCATGACACCTGTGATCCAGGACAACCCCTCGGGCTGGGGTCCCTGTGCCGTTCCTGAGCAGTTTCGGGATATGCCCTACCAGCCATTCAGCAAAGGAGATAGGCTGGGGAAGGTATGGGGTCCCTTCAGCTGGGGCAGCTACTCCACAGCTCCCCTTTTTCTTTTTAACTCTTCATGTGGGAATACCAGCTGCGGAAGGCCCTGACCTCCAGAGTAAGTCAGAGGCGGGATAGCCATGTACAGAGCATGATGCTGGTGCCTTTTTCACTCAGTTTTCCTCCCTCCGGCTCTGGGGTTTCTGGGTCAGCAGAAGCCTATTCACCTGACCTGTTCTCTTCCTTGTCTTCATTACACCTAACAGGTTGCAGACTGGACGGGGGCCACGTACCAGGACAAGAGGTATACAAGTAAGTCTGACTCAGTGGGCTGTCCACATCTGGGCCGTGGGAAGGTTGTTACTTCTTTCAGTAAGTGCCACAGGAAAGCATCTCAGAGAGGAAAAGAAAGGCTCATGGTAGCAATAATTATTGGGAATATATTCTGGAATGTGTGTACTAACCATGGTTTTGGAAGTAGTCCCAGAAGTTAAACTGTTAATTATTGTCGAGGTGACATCCAGAGACTTCTAAAAATACGTTGAGTGTGCTGCCATTTGCATTCTATTGCTTGGGACTTCCTGAAGCCATCAATTAATGAGGTTTTGGGCCCTGGTTAAGGTTCTGGTAAGGGAAAACACTCTTCTTGGTGACAGTTAGACAGTTGGAGCGGCTGGCTAGAACACTAAGTTAAGGTGAACGAGGTCAGAAAGAAAGTCTGTCATGATCGATGGCCATGCCCGTGACTCTGGGTGGCAGGAATGGTGGGAGCCCTCAGACTCCTACATGACCAGGCAGAGGTGAAGTGAGCTAGCTTGAGATTCTTGGGCTCTCTGTAAATTCTTTAGACCCAAGCTCTTAAACCATAAATGTGCGTGTGAATCACCTGGGATCGAGTTTAAATACAGGTTCCCGTCCATCAGGTCTGGGCAGGGGTAGTGAGAGTCTGCACATCTCCCAAGCCTCTGGCCGGTGCTGCACGTCCCAGAACCACACTTCAGAGAGCAAGGCTCAAGCCCATTGAGCATGATGAGCAGACTGTAGGCAACACTTAGCACACACTGTCACCTTTGCCTGCAGACAAGTACTCCTCTCAGTTTGGTGGGGGAAGTCAGTATGCATATTTCCATGAGGAGGATGAGACCAGTTTCCAGCTGGTGGACACGGCGAGGACACAGAAGACTGCCTACCAGCGGAACCGGATGAGATTCGCACAGGTGGGCCCTGGGCCCCTGGGAGCTCTTACTGTGGAAATGTCGGCTGCCCTGCAACCATTTTGAGACAGGAAAGGCTTGCGAGCTTTTGGCCAATCCCAAGTGGCAGTTCAGTGACCAGTTGTACCAGAATAACTTTCAGTGGGTCCAGGAATGTGTTGAAGAAGTTTAGGTATCTGTTCACGGTAGTTCAGACATCACACAGCTGTTCTGGGAACCCAATGTCTTGTTTAATTGCCGCATGCAGCCTTTGTTAATTAGATGGTTTGGTTGGGTGCCTCCTGCTACATAAAGATGCAAATTTAGCAACTCCAGTAAAACTGATACACCCACATTAGTGGAAGTGATAATCCAAGCTAACACGAGGGCTTCTCCCCTTAACCCAAATACTGTAGGTGCTGTAGAGTAAAAGCACAGAGACAAGAAACTGGGGGCTTCACACCCTAAACTTGCTTTGAAGATATCATAAGCCATGTCTCCAAGGGGTTAACATGGGTCTCTTCCTACTTCCCAGCGGAACCTCCGCAGAGACAAAGATCGACGAAACATGGTGCAGTTCAACCTACAGACACTGCCTAAAAGTGCCAAGCAGAAAGAGAGGTGAGCATCCCTTCCTGCAAGGTCAAAGCTGTGTACCCAAATGGGCTGTATTCAGAATTCACAGAGCCAGAGCAGGGTTGGCTGTCTTTCACTTTTGCAAAAGAAACCAAAACCTAAGCTATTGCTGTCCAAGACTGGGTCATGACAGACAGGCAAGCGGGGACCAAGTCAGACATTTATGCTGTAAAGCCATAGCTAGAAGTGAAGTGGCTCTGTGGCCTCTGTAGATTCTTGGTGCCTGGTTCCCAACAGCACTGTTTATCTACTCTGAGCACAGCAGCCACCCCAGCCTAGCCGTGGCTGCATGACAGTAATTGTGGGCTCACTGCACCCCTGTGGTTGGTACCGGGTGGGGGTGGTGTGCCTTTGCTCGCCTCGCCAGCATGCTCTTCATCTAAGCCCCCATTTTCTGTCCTGGTAGCAGCCCGGAAGGACAGTGCAATTCAGCTAGAAGTCCCCACTGAAAGCACAGCATTCTGTCTGTCTTTTCAGAGAACGAATTCGCTTGCAGAAAAAATTCCAGAAGCAATTTGGAGTGAGGCAAAAATGGGACCAGAAGTCACAGGTAGTGTGTCCATACTGGATTCTGTTGGGAATGGGGCGAGTTTGTTTCTTTTACCCTCAGAGATAGGAGTCAGGTATGCAGTTGTGTGGTCTCTCAGTGACTGCAGGCAGCCTAGACCACCTACGTCCCTCGTAGAAAGAAACCTTGTGCCCATACCCACGTCCGGCACACCCCAGTCCTAGCCAGTGCTGCTCTTTGCTATCTCTGAATTTCTCTGATGCAGTTCACATGTGACTAAATGCAGAACCCATCAGCATAAACCCTGCAGATATGGAGA